TTCATTGAAAACAGCTAAAATAGCTACGGGAATTAGAAAGATACTTTGATGACACAAGGAATGTGGTGATAGAATACGCCAAACAAGCTGACCTCGGATACGTGTGTGTGAAAAAGTGTCACATATGCCACGAAACCCTACAGGGATTCACCTCTCTATTTTTTTTATTGCATTTTACAGGGATACAATTTCTCTAGTTGCATCAATGGCTTCCCCAGGCAAAACCTAACGTAAAACTACTTACATCACCACATAATATACATTCTACAGAAAAAAAAAAACTAGATTTTACCCTTCATATTCGAACTAATGTAATAAATCTTCGGGAAATCGGTTCCCTGATTTCTGTTTTTCAGTGGATACGTGACGATTCACAACGACTACCCAAAAGAGGGTTTAGGTTTCCTACTGGAATGAGCAGAAATCCTAAACGGAATTTTTTTCGCACAGGACTTTCGATGAATTAAAAACATGTAAGTTTATGAAGTAGAAACTTACCCATCATATCAATGGGGAAAATGTCGAAGAATTGGGGTCTTAGGGTTTACTGTTCGCCCGGATATTTGATATACATAAAAGGTAAGTTGAAATAATATCTTTGTGTTAAAAATTTCTGCTCTTTGGTTTTGGTTTCATATTTATCAACCTAAAAAAATAATTATATATATATATATATATATATATATATATATATATATATATATATATATATAGATATATATATATATATACTAGCCGTTTACCCGCGCCAAGCGACGGATGCGGATAATTTCTTTTAAAAATTAGTTTCTAGAGACATGTAGTTTTTTTGCACAAATAATTTGTTTTAATCTATGACTTTCTTTTTAGTGGGTTTTTTTTAGTTCTTTCACTAGATAATAGTTGTTTTTTTTTATTAAAACTGATTTGATTTCGATAACATATCATATTTCAAAATAGATGTTTTGGCAAATAATTTAAAAGTCAAATATTAATTTCGGTGAAATCTTTACAACGATTAGTTTTCTTTTGGAAACATGTGACATTCAAATAACACACATATGAATCGTTATATATCAATTCCCATTTTCAAGTATTTTGATATTTTGGGTTAAAAATAAAAACAAATTGTATTAGTCAAAAATAAAATTATCTTAATATGACACTACTAGAAAAACAGCTTTTTACGACGTGCAATGCGTGTCGTAAAACGCTCAGACGACGCGCAAATGTGTGTCAAGGAAGGTGTCACACCCCCAAACCAAGGATGACGGAAACGTCCAGGGGTGGAGGACTTCATGTATAGTATCACAACAAGAGGATAATAGTGCTCAAAGTACACAACCAACATAAATATAATTGAAAAAGTTACATCATAGTATAAGCTTTACATGTTTCTAAATCAATTACATCATGTTGACAAAAATGAAGTGTTTGACGCCTTAGCGTTCCATCCTCAAAAGCCACTGGTTACCTGTTTTACTGATTCCCTGAGAATACAAGTAGTTGAAAAAGTGTCAACAATTAAGTGGTGAGTTCATAAGCTTTTGAATGAAATGTTGAAATCCTTTCTTTGTAAGAGTATGTTTGTTCCAGAAAATCCAATATTTTCCCTTTTAAAAAAAATGTATTGTGGCCTTAAATGTCCAGGCCCATAATGTATTAGTATTTTCCAAATATGTGTAAATTATGCAAGTTTAAATCGACATAAACTCGTTTAATTAAAGGAAAACCCCGTAAATCTTATGTTTTGTTAATCCCCCATGTGAGTTATTATAACCATGCTATGACTCAGTCGACCTTGTATACGACGTTCTTCAGGTGTCGGAATGTTAATGACATTTGTCACCCCGACTGCCGGTCTCGCTGGCATGTAGCTAAGGTGTGGGTTTGTCAGACCCAATATAGATCTATACAAAACTATCACGCTCTCCCTACAAGAGACTCTGGTTACAATTACAGGACTTTTGATTTCGTTACTTTAGAAGTAACATGAAGCGATTGTCTCACAAATTTATTCATTAACAGATTTACGTAAGTGAACTGATAACCCCTATTTGTCGAGATGTACTCTATCGTCGTGTGATGTAAATGAAACATAAACTATGACTTGTTATAGTTTATCCTAATTGTTTGTGTATGTATATGAAACATAAACTAACACTATTATAGTTTATCAAAATTTTGTAATGTATAGTAACCTTTCCTGTGTAAGTAGATTTATAGCAAAAACATAACAATGTTTATTATGCCTCATCTTGTAATAATAAGGATTCTTATAACTTAATGTCTATTTTTCTGTTCTATAATTTTATCACAACAGAAAACACATGCAAAATATGAAGTCATCAAGGTTTAACACTTTGCTCAACATGTTACAAGTGTTATGAAAGTTGTAAACTGTAAATTCGTTTTTACCATTTTTGCACTGATTTAGAAAAATCATACGAAGTCGAAAACTGAATCCGTAAATTCTGAGATTTCATAAAATGTGTCTAGTTTATTCATAATTTTTATTATGATTTTTAGAAGTCTTTAACTTGTGTTAAAATGTTCGTATTCACAGACTGGTCCGAATTCGTTTCTGAAATGATAGACAGTTTTGTAAAAATCGCCATAAATTGTAGAAAAATCGTATGGTGATGTGCAAGTAAGAATTTTAAAGGTATGAACCTGAACTATTTTCATATTAAACAGTTTGAAAGATATTAAGTTTAAGACAGTCAAAACAGTCTGTGAATAAGACTCAACTTTTCTGATGAAAGCTGTTGTTTGAGTTTAGTTAAGTCTTTGGTATTTTAGCTTGTATTCTCCCCCTAAAAGTTGAAGAAATCATGAAAATGTGGGGGTATGAACTCACCTTGAGTGATCTCTTAAGATGGATGATGAAAAGAAGAAGTTTCCAAGTCAAGAACACTAGGGAGACACTTGAAGATTTGAAGATCCTAAGCACAAAATGACAATAATTTGTATAAGAGATTCATGATTTGAGTGAAGGAGTGTAGAGTATTCAAATATAGGATGAATATACTTACCAAGACTAAAGTGAAAAGCTCAAGAACAGCCTTGAAATCTCGAGTTCTAGAGGGGGAAAGTGAGAGAGAGGGTGTTTGCTTTTTGAGAGAGAGAGAGAGAGAGAGAGAGTGAGTAAAGTGGGGAGTGATATGGGTGTTTCCAGCTTTTGATGAGGCTATGCAGCTGGAGGAGGGGTGTCAAAGGACAAATAGTACACTAGGTAAGGAGGAATAGTGACTGAGGGTTGTCCTATGAAGGTATGGGGGGTTGCTTGTGTCATACTCTAGATAAAGTCAACACTCTATCACAAAATCTAGCTTAATAGATTTTATTCTTGGACAAGGATTTTCCCCAAAATATAATTAAAATATGAATATTTATGGTTTATTATGTTAAAATACGAGTTTGGGTGAAAATCCCGTGTTAAAATCACGAAAAACGGGCTTAAACGAAGATTGGGTCAAAAACCGGGAAGAAGTTGCGAAATTCCGAAGCCAGGAGGCGAGGTTCGGTCTTAGGAGCTGAACAGCCGAAGGTAAGTTCGGTCCGAGAAGGGTTCGGTTGATGCATTAGAACCGAGAGTGAGAGGTTCGGTCCGAGCCTCGCAGGCGAAGCCATCAGAAGGGACCGAAGGCGAAGGGTAGTTCGGTTCGTGAGGAGGTCTCGGTTCTTAAGCTGGTTTCGGTTCTAATAAGAGGGTTTCGGCTCCTTAAGAGGGTTCGGCTCCTTAAGAGGTTTCGGCTCCTTAAAGCTGTTTTTCGCGTAAACTTCCGTTTTCGAGCTGTTTTTGGCTAATTCAAGGGTCGGGATGCCCTAAGTGATTATAAAAAGTTGAGAGAGATTTTGAGAGAGATTTGGGAGAGATTTCACATACTTGGAGAGATTTGGGAGAGATTTCACATACTTGGAGAGATTTGTCATACTTAGAGAGATTTGGGAGAGATTTCACATACTTGGAGAGATTTGGGAGAGATTTCACATACTTGGAGAGATTTCTCATACTTAGAGAGATTTGGGAGAGATTTTACATACTTGGAGAGATTTGGGAGAGATTTCACATACTTGGAGAGATTTCTCATACTTAGAGAGATTTGGGAGAGATTTAAGGTAGAGAGAGATAGAGCGAGAGAGATTTGAGAGAGACTTCGTTTGTGACCTTTTTGGATGTTTAGCTTTGCCACGCAAGGTTCGTAAACCCCGTTAAGCCATGTTTAAGGTTCTTACACACCCCCGAAGGGTATGCAATAGTGTTTTATCGTTTTGTTACCTCACTTATCCCGTTTAGGGTTTAAGAATTCCAATCATGCGAACTTTCCAAGTGATAACTTCTTATTAAAATAACGAATTGTACAGTAGCTAACATATTGTAAACCCTAATATACTAGGGTTAGATGAGTTGACCGGTTTGACTTATTGACTTTATTTTACTTTGGCTAGCCTGAAAATTGACGGTTGTCACAGAAGGCCCTGTCATAACGAGAGACGACATGCTTTTGCGTGTCGTCTATTTACGACGCGCATTTACGACGCTCATTTACGATACGCAATGCGTATCAAGGAAGGCCCTGTCATAAAGGAAGACGACACGTATTTGCGTGTCGTAACCTTACGACGCGCATTTACGACTCGCATTGCGTATCATTAAAGCCCCTGTCAAGAAAGGTCATGTCATAAATGAAGATGACACACATTTTTGCGTATCGTAATTTTGAATGTTTAAAAAAATATTATTTATAGATTTACTAATTTTCAAATTAAATTTGCATTTAATGTCTCATAATAGAAAATAAAATATCATATACAAAAAATACAATCCATTGCATAAAATTTAATGTAATACAAATAATCGTTCCACGGAAAGATAAAACAAATCAATAGAAGTTGTAACAAAAATTTACAAACTAATAGTTCTAATAACCTAATGTGTGCCTCACTATAAACAAGATTTGTGCTGATTTTTTTAAATGTGTGCCTCACTTGTCTCCACTCTTCCTTAGTAACACCACTCAAGGACTCTAACTTTATGAACTTGCTCACAGTATCTATATTGCCTGCAAAATAAGTATGAAGATGGATTATTACAGTGTAAGAGAAGTGAAGAACCTTGAGCTTCCTCCAATGGGACACATGGGTAGTCAGACTTGATACACTTTGCAACACGTATATCTCCCAATGCAAGATCAACTTTATTTCTCCAAGTGGAAGGCCATATGAACCTCTTCTATTTTTAAACTGAGTTTCATTGCAAGAAACATCAAGAACTTGCTTGTATTTCTCAAAAGAATCACTAAATGAAGCAGAAGTATGAACTGCTATTGTTTTTATTCCACTCCGAGCAGCTTCTTGTGTAAGTATAAGCACCACAGGTTGCTTTAAAACATCCTGTGATTTCAAACACGCTATTGATTCTTAAAAATGCACAAATAAAAAAAATATTATAACAAAAAATCCACAATCGTCACTCACAATATACTTCTGAATCAACTTCTTAAATTTCTCACGTGTCCATTTTGATGTTTCCATTGTCATAAACCACTCATTACGTTCCCATTTACACAACTTCATGAGTTCATTCAACTCCACCTGATTGCTCTTTCTGTTATCTGCTAACCTCTCCAGAATACATAAACACAAAGGAACATAGATCATTTAACAAAAAACATAATGTAATAAAATCTAGAAAAAACAAGGAAAATGGATAAAATATTCTTTAGGGTTTAGGGTTTAGTAGTAATTGTTTTTACCTGCAACAGGATGCCATCAGACCAAGTAAACTGCATTCCTTCATCGCTTTCAACAGGTAAGTCAGATCCCAGTAGATCCATCATGTCGGTCTATGGTTTAAGGAAATATGAAACCTTTTCTCATTTTATGCTCTTTAATCTGTATGTTGTCCTTGGATAAATCAAAAAGGTCCCTACATGAAACACTCCCAATTGCAATTATAAAGCAGAGCTGAAGAGTAGAGATGAGAGACACAAAAGATAATATCACTTGCTAACCTTACTCTCTCCATATAAATTTCCACTTGCATGTACTAACAAGAGCATCTTGTAGGAGGCGAGTGAGCTTGGAATCACGAAAAGGGATGTGTAATGATTTGGCATGTGGACTGGAAGTAAAAGAACTGATCACATTTCCACGTACAGAAAGTGATTTGTTAATGGGATTGGCTTCTTCTAGAACTTTCCCTTCAGCACCTGTCTTCTCAACCTTCTCAGATCCTGCCAAATCCACAAGAACAACCTTTCCACGTCTCACCCTGTTCAATTAATAATTTAAGAAATGTAAATATGATTTCAGTAAACTGTAAATTCTCAAAGAAATTATAACACCTTTTCTCATTTGTTACTTCTTTCTGAATAGTAAACATGTAGATGCAATGACTTCTACTGCTTCCAGCATTCATCTCTACATGAGTTGACAAGTCAATCAAACAACTAGCATAAATGGGAGAGAGAGAGAGAGAGAGAGAGAGAGAGAGAGAGGAATACGAGTCTCTACAACAGCTCTGTTAGCTATCCCACCATGCATTTGTCATTACTAATGTTAAGAAGTAAAAGATAACTGAATATTTATTTTTCTTAAAGAATATTTTTGAATTAGGAAAACTTATAGTAAGACTTTGATCTTACACATAAGACTTTTAATGCTTCTTCTCCATCTAGTATCGGGATCTGTAGAACGGAAGTTTAATCATCTTTTAAGCTGATAGAGAAATGCAACAAATTGGAAGATTCCATATGAGATATGACAGATATTTGAATTTACTTCTGTTACTCCAGACAACAATATCCCATGTGATTTGTGCACTTTAATTGCGGTTTTAATTTGGCTGAATTAACCGTGACACAATCACAGAACAGGTTACTGGAGCTGATTGAATTGGTTTCTATTAGTTTAATCCAAGTAGCTAGGAAATTTGGGTAGGTTCTTTCTGTTGGTTTAATCCAGATTAAACCACTACCTTCTATCCATCAAATTTTAAGTGAAAATGGCTTGTAAATAAAATAAACATACATAACCAATTAAAAAACATACATACCTGAAGCATAAACCCAATCCGTTCCACTGGCATCACAGACCAATCTTCCAACCTAGGAACATGAGTTATCCCAAATACATACCTGCAAATTTTCATATAAGAAAATATTGTGCGAAAAGCATGCATAAACTGATTAAAAAAACAAGGAAATATATTTAGTCACCAGAGAATAATGTCGGTTTCTTCAAGAGATCGATTTTGCTGGACCCATGAAGCCAGACCTTCACCAACACGCGAGTTTTGGTTGGGAAATTCTCCTCCGGGGAAATCCTCACCACAAGCATACGGTGTGACCCATAGATTGTGTTTTAAAAAGGCAGCCCTTCTTACGAACTTGGCTTCTGAACCTGCTAAAGGCAAGCAGTTTACCGGATGTAAAAAGTCTTCAGCAAGTAACTTCTGCTAATTTGTTGTAATGATCATATATGGGCTGATTTAGCAACAGAAAGCACATCTGCTTACCATATATAAAAAGTCTTCCCAAGAATAAATTTCCAAACCACATTTTTCAGCAAGTAACTTTTGCTCATTTGTGATTGTGCTAAAGCTAACAAGAGCTATAAAATAAGACAAAACATATTAACTCACGAGAGGGGTATATATTTATTATGAGAAAAGCAGATAAATAAAACTTACTTTACAAGTACTTCTCAGTTTCAGGAAACCATGGAAACATAAATCGTCCCCACCATGCTGCCTATGAACCCCAATGCATGTGAAAGGAAATCTATGAAACAATTTTTTTTTAAAAATTTAGAAATTTTTTTGATTAAGCTTGTGTTTGTGGTTTAGTGGTTTAGCAGTTTAGCAATTTAGTAGTTTAGTAATTGGACCAGCAAGCAAGGATGTTCTAGAATCCTACATTGAACTATAAGAAATATGTAAAACAGAATGATGAGGATGAGAAGGGCAATTAAGTCTTTTTCACAATCAGCTTCATTTCTGTTTAGCCTAAAAGAGAATACATGTTCTTTTACTAAGCCTTGTTCAGCCATATTGTACCTGTAAATTGTAATTAGAAGAAGATTATAAGTCACAACAAAAAGAGAAGAAAAGAGTTGATCCAGATTCAAATGAGTTATTACTTGACTGTGGTTAACCAGAATGTGAAAACAAACTTTTTTTAAAATTATGTAGTGGCCAAAAGAGTAGCCATATCAAAAATAAAAACTTATAAAGTAATCTTTCTAAAACAAAAGAGTAACTATGCATCACCAGCAAACTGTTTCCCCAAAGTCATCAAGAACAACACCAAATTTGTTCAGCTATCATCTTTTAACAGAAATCTGGGTGTTTGGGCGCATGGTTGCTGATTTTGTTTCCAGAACCCACTTTTCGTAATTTTCAACCTAACAAATTATAAGAAAATATAAATACTAAACTATAAGAAATAGAAATAGAAATAGAAGATTATTTATTTTATATATAACAAAAGGGGACCTCGGCTAGCATCTTTTCACAGAAATCTGATTTTGCGTCTTCACATTTGTTTACACACATACAAACATATTTAGTTAAATACCACCAACATATAATATTCAATTAAATTATCAATGGGTAGCAAAACTCAAATGTCTAAAAAGATTACCTTAAAGCCTAAAGATGAAGACAGAGTTACAGAGCAAAAAGATAATAAAGATCGACATATAGTCTTTAACAGTTCCTTAATTATGATGACAAAAATAAACAAATGTGGGGTTTAACTACTTATCCTAAACAAGTGCTCCCACAACCCACGTGCATCTAGCACAGTACCATCGTTGTGTATATCATTATGTACTATACCATAAAGAAAAATCATTCTCCTGATCAGTGTTTTATTAGTTTCAATGCAACTACACATGCCTCTAAAGATGTTCACGAAAGAACTAGTTAACATTCATATATACTTTCATATAATTAGCATTCATATTTACTTTCATATAATGATGTTCTAAACATATAATCACAGTTAACCTAATGAATCAAGCCAACTGTAACAACAACAATGAAGAAGAAACAAAGCATAATGAAGTAGAAAAAAAATGTTCTAAATATATATTGTGAACATGATCTAACAACAAAAAAATACAGGGGAGAAGAGTGAAACCTGATGGATGATGGACCGATTTTTTGTTGTATATTGTGAACAAGAATGAAGTCTGCAGCAGGGGCGTTGAAGCAGTAGGGACGTTGAAACACAGGATGAAAGACCGATTTTTTGATGTATGTTGAGAATGATACGTGATCTTTGTTATCCTTGTCATTGATTCTCTTCTCTCCAAATCTCTCCAATTTGGGAGGAAGATTAGGAGGGAAGATTATCCTCTGATTTCCTTTCTTTTCTTCCCAAATCATTCCAAAAAAAACTCAGGAACACGATGGTTTACTCTTTCTCTCCGATTCCCTCCCTTTCTCTCTTCTTCCCTCGTTAAAGGAGACTCCGGAACAGGGTGGTATGTAACTGTGTAAATATCCCCCCATAATCTGCTTCCATCACTAGAGACAAAATCACTCCCGTTGTACCTCTCGTCATCATCTTCATCAAGAACAAGTTGTCTTTGAATAGCTTGATAGATGGTTAAATGGCGATTGAGTGGATTTCCATTTAGGTGGCAGACGTAGATGGAAAGTGGGGTCGAGACGTAGTCTCCGGCACGGTGACACTGATGAGTCGCAATCGCTGGTGAAGTGAGGCGAGCCTGATGAGGTCTCCGGCCGGTGAGAGGAAGTGTTGCAATCGTACTCTAGCTCGATCATCTGGAGAATGTTGTAGTGAAAAAAAGCCCTAGTTATCGTGTGGGAGAGTTTAGGGTTGTTTTGAGATGCTAAGGTTTGGTTAGAAGGGATGCAGAGAGAACAAGGGAGACTGAGAGAGGATCGAATAGGCGGGGATTTTAATTTTTTGGGATTCCATTTACCGCCTTGGCTAACGAGTGTTTCATTAAAAATTATAAAGCGACATGCTTAGATGACACACATTTTATAATAAGTGCCCTCCGTGTTTTTTTTCTGACACTAATTTTAGGGCACGCAAAAATGGGCGTCATAAATCCTTCAAATTCCTTCAGAGATGACATTATTTTAAGGTCACACACTTTTCTATATCGTAAATTACTGTGTCATTGTTCGCGCGTCATTAAAGGGTTGTTTTCTAGTAGTGTGAAATCATAGTTTTCCAACAATTCAATAAACAAAATACTTTCCAATGTTAAAACAAAACCAATTTGTATCTTTGCAACTTACAGACAATCAACATATTTAAGCAATATGTTTATAATGAGTTAATTTGATATTTTCTATAAATATTAGTATAAAATGAATGGTGTAACTTAAAAGTCTTGTCTAAATAGAGGGACGATTGTCAATATCAAATAGGCATAAAAATACTAAAAACAAAATAAATTAAGCTTTTCGTTTATTTTGTCAATTGAAAAAATCATTTAAACATTATTTGTATAAGTTAATTTCTTACAAGAAAATTAATGGCATGGATTATCGGCCTTCGTTTGTTTAATCAAACATCATTTCTATTCTTTAAACTACAAAAGTTCTCTTTGACATTCATAGTCCGACGAAGTTGACTTATAAGAATTTGTGATAATTAATTTTGTAATATGACTTTTTACAGTCAAATTTAGTCTTCTATACAAAGAAATTTATGACAAAAATAAAAGTGGAAGATGATTGGAACCATAATACCAAGAATTAGCAGGGGCAACTGGAGCATGAACAATTTAAACTCCAAAAATTCGTTTTTACTTGTACAACAACCAAGACATTAGCTCAAACCTAGGTTTTTAGTTGAAAGTCTAAATTCGATGCAAAGAACTAATAATCAAAGAATTATATAAATAGCAACATACTTTATGTTTTAATATAATCATATAGCTTCATTTCTTCCAATAACAATGATGTAATGAAAAGGAAAGAAAGTAAGATCCTATAATGTGACAACCGTCAAAATTCGAGTCGGTTCTAGATTTGACTAAACTTAGTTGCACATATAGGCATGAAACATACTAGACTTAGTAACTAGAAGCTAAGTTATAATCTACTAGAAACTTGGAAACAATTAGAAACGATGGACATTGTACTTAGATTTCACATTGTTATGTGAATTCTATAACTACTTAACTGTAGAGACTATCCATATTTGGGTCACTCTTTGACTCAAACACCTTTTCATAAATCATATACACACATCACGCACTTGACCTAGTGGGAAAAATTAGGTCCGAGTCTCATAGTATCTTAAGTCAAAGTTGAAAACTAGGACTGGTATACTTGATTCCCCAATTTCATTTGAATCTCGAAATCACTACATAGAAATGCTAATAAACCGACAAAAAAGAATTTCAAACATTATTGATAACTATAAAAGA